ATCATCACTCCAGCCCAACCACCTCTGACTTGAAAGCTCCTCTTTGGGTTTCCCTGGAGGTCCACAGGGCCAGTGCATCCAGAAGGCTATTGTAATGAGGGGGAAAATCAAGAGTATTTTAGGATGCAGATAATTAAATCTGCTGGTTATAGATGTGTTTCCAGGGAAGGAATGGAAAGTCACTAATTTTGAGAGACCTTGGCATATAGAGTTGGAGATCTCTATTAAAAACTGCTGAGTTGTGCAGCAGCGCTGTCAACGCTGGGAGATGTGGATGAGCTCAGAGGAGCTGGAGTGATGGATACAACATGGGAGGTCAGTCACGTCAATTTTAAAGAAGACATGCAAGGACCTGGATGAGGCTTTGAGCAACCTGGTCTAGCAGGAGGTGTCCCTGCCCATGGCAGAGGGGTTGGAACTCGATGATCTCCAAAGTCCCTTCCAACCCAAACAATCCAATGATTCTATGATATGACCCAGCAGAAAGAAAATGGAAAGATGTGGGTATCCTTGAGCATGGACCAGCCAAAAGCTATCAATGATATGAAGCCAGGGACAAAGCAAAGGCGATCTGAGATGGCATCTTGTCAGCAGCACACCCAGGAACCCCCCTGGAAAAGGCACCGGTCACAATCAAGGAGTTCTGCATTCAACTTGCATCACCTACAGTCATGAAAAATGAATTTGCCAGGAGGCTTTCATTTGTTTCTTTTTCCAGTTCCGATGTGGCTGCCCTGGATTCACCCAAAGCTGCTGATGCAGCTAATAAACGGAGAAAATTATCTGAAATTAAACTTTCAGACAGTTTTGCCCTGCCCACTCCAGTTTTGCCCAGGGATTTACTATCTGAAAGATCCTTCCTCACCAGCAGCTGGCACTCAATTCTAATTTTAAACTGAATTGCAATTGCAGACAGAAATAAACACGGGGTTTGTCCATGTCAAGTTTGCATTTTGCAGGTGTGCTGCTCCTTTCCTTCGCAGACAAAAGGGAAACAGCATCCCTGTGATGCTCTGGAGAAAAAGCCACAGCCACGGACATTCACAGACGATGACCCTAAAAAGGAGAAGGAAAAACAAGGAGTATTTCAGCAAATGGAGGGGATGGACTCAAAGGACACTATTTAGAGATTCCCCAGGGAACTGGGGGATTAATCCACTTAGTAAAACCCTTTCAGTTCCCATTTTAAGGCAGACAAACTAAATTTGCAGTCACCAAATTAATCTGCACTGAAATTATTTCAGCAATAGAAAATCTAACCTCTTTAGGTAGTTTTTGTCCGTTCTTATATTATCCCAGAAATGACAGTTCCCAGACGAATGGCTCCTACATAAAAGCAAAGCATCCCGAGCCACGAAGGATGTGCTGGATGCTGCAGGACAAATTTTAAGCTCTTCTTTCGGTGTGTGCTGAAGTCCAAAGACTCTGGTTATCTCTTGGTGATCGAGAAAAAAAAGATTCAGGAGATACATCAGCTCTTACCTTTCCACATCTACACCAAAGCACTGTTCTCCCTCAGCTGGTGATACACACGAAATAAAATCTGAGTTTGGTGTCCACCTCCACAACCAACACCAAATCCAGAATTTGGATTTTCGAGTTTCATTCAGTGGGGCTTAGAAACCAACTCACTTAATTCCAAATTAATCTTGATATTTAAAATACATGGATAAACAGCTCTCATTATCTGCACCACTTCTCGTGTGATAAAAACATTAGAACTAAAGCAAATTCCCTTATTTAGCTGTAAATGTAATTTTTAATTATTATTATTCCTATTTCAATATTGGCTATGAGAAGACTGGCAGGCAGCGGGACCCCCCATTTAGCCCAGTGCAGTTATACTTACCATCCTTCTCTTTACCTGCAGCTGTAAATTCTCCAGTATAATTTAGTAATTCTTTAAATGTTGTTCAGCCTGGCATCACCTCTCGTGGTCCAGAAGATAAAAACAAGCTTTTATGGTCAGAAAATCACTTTACATTCAAAATTAAATGCTGTGGTTTGGGCAGCTGTAACCTGTTCCCAAAGTTTAAGGCTTTATTTTGGAGATGTGACAAACCGCAGCGTATTGAAAGAAAGTGGGGAGGAAAAAAAAAAAAAAATCCCAAACAAGTTGATATTGTTTAAATAATACACTCTATTTTATTTTGTCTTAAAATAGTTTAACCTTTATGCTACAGACTTGTTTCAAAAAACAGGTCTCATCTTGCACCAAAAATATATATATTTATATATATATAACACTCTGTTTTATTATTATTTTTTTCTCCAAAGACCATTAAATACTAGATGGAAAATGAGAACTAAATAACGAGTGTTGAGAAGAATCAAACTTTTGAACTAGAGGCGCATGTTTTTCCAACACTGATATTCTAAGCAATGAATTGTCTTTACTACAGAAGATTCCAAGTTCACACTCCAGCAGCTCACACTAAAACCATGAAAGGGCTTGAGCCAACGCACACCGAAGTCGATGGAAAATCCCGCATCAACTCCAGTGGGTTCTGGATCGTGCCCTAAGT